AATTTTAAATAAGAAAAAAAAACAATAATAGTATAAAAAAATTCGATAATAAAAAAATAATTACGTAAATTTGTAAATTAAAATGATCTTATTATAGGTAGACAGTGTAAGAACGGTGACTTTGCCACAACTCAGGAGGTTTGGTATTGAAGATGGCCTAGAATTAAAGGTAGACGTCAAGATCTTTCAGTGAACATAGTGAATTAATGCGGCAACTCATTCGAGTAACTAGTAGATTTCTAAACGTGGATCTGCTCCGCTTGGCGGAGGTGAAGTCAATTTCAAGTGTCCAAATGTGAAAGCACTAAAACCAATGCAATTCACAGACGAAGGTCGGATAAAACGTATTCGTGGTATTGCGTAATGTATTTTGCACAACTCCTTTTACTTTTTTCAGCTGATTCGTATGAATTAATTGGAATCTATAATTTTCACAATCAAGGTGCTGCACGAGAGTGTCACCTCAAAATGCAAATAGAATGGTGGACTCCGCGAGGTCTATATTGAACAGATATATTCCCGATGTGTACATATACACGGATGTTTACAAGGGAGAAGAATCCGGAAAGTAAGTTATGAAAACATTCTAACGATGCGAATTGATGACTCAATCTAACATGGAATATATATAGATCTCCAGGGTTTGCACTTTCTCTTGTGGCCGAATCGACGACAGGTTCCCTTGTGGCTGCAGAACAAGCCGCAAATCCAGGTGAGACACCTGAAGATATCGGTCAAAGAACAGCCAAACTCCTACTCGCTGAAATACGCAAAGGTGGTTGCGTCGATTCTTTGAATCAATGGTTAGTTTTACTGATGATGGTTTTAGGCTCGGAAGATGTATCGAAGGTTAGACTGGGGCAGTTAAGCGCTTTCACGTAAGTTGATTAATTGATTTTTTTAAGATATCCTTTTTGGTAACACAAAGTGATTTATTATTTTATTTTATTTTATTTTTTGATCATTAGGATACAATATATTCGAGACCTTCGAGATTTCTTTGACGTTACGTTTAAAATAAAACCCGATTCCACAACAAATACACTTTTGATGGCATGTGTTGGTATTGGTTACATTAACTATAGCAAGAAAACAACCTAAAATTATTAACAATAAAAAAAAAGCAACTTCGAAGTGAAAGCCTCGAGAATTTTTTGCAATATGAGGCAGGCTCATTGCTCTACTACTTGAGTTTGGAGATCTAATATTTAATGAAAATAGTATTGGTTGGATATTAAAATCAAGAGAACTGTGTGAGGATAAAATGGTAGAATTTAGAAAAGTGATTACTTTTGAATGTTGGCACATGGACATAGCTAACATAGGTGTACAGCTTTTCCTTTGCATATTCTTCATCATTACGACGGCGCGAAAGACGAAGACGCATGCGATGGGGTACATTCTTAATACCCTGCTTCCAAATCTCCTTATTCAATTGAGGATCAAGGCGAACGTCCTTTGTGCCCATATGTCTGAAGGCAAAATCCTTAATTGATTTCACGGCGTGGGGAGCGCGCCTCTTGAAACTCCTGTTCGATTGTATTACCAATAAATTCGGATGCTTATCGGATTCTCATCAGAATCGAAAAATGAAATTTAAAATGTATTTTGCTACCTTCCGTGAACTGCTTTGTGCAGGTGAATCGTGTAATCTCTTGTCACGACGTCTTCGATCGCACTACGTGTTTTTTTTTCTTTTGCCATTTCTAAATAAAGCGAACGATACAAAGATTGTGTCAAAAGCGGTAGGTTTCAAATGTTTCCCCGAGTTGGATGGAATAACAAGTTTAAAACACCTTGTGTGAACGGATAAGGATTTTTTGAAAAAAAAAAAAGAGAGATCTAAAATTTTTTTTTTACCTTATTTCTGTTGGTACCCGGTTTCTGGATCGGAACACAATTGATTACGTAACAGTTTTCGAGCACATAAAATGAGATTTGGATAGATTTTTGAACAAAATGTTGTCCGAACTTGCATTAACATCTTCATCGACAGATACATCCATACAAGTCTGGGACTTTCGAACGGGAACCTTACTGATCTCGTTTAAACAAAATGCATGTTATGAACGTGGATTGGCACTAATTCCGCATCCTGGACAACCTAACAGAGTGGGTTTGGTGATATCTGCACAAACAGATAAGGCATTGTTGCACGTTTATTCTTGGCAAAAGGTAAGGCGAAAATGTACGAACACAATAATTAGATGTTTAATGGGTTCATTATTTTCTTAGGATCAAACTTACCTTAAAATAATATGCCCGGAGAAACTTATTTCTTTGGCTGTATCAAATCGAGGCGGATATTGCGCTGGTGGCACTGATGGCGGAAAAATATATGTGTGGGAGGTAGGATAAGATTTGTCTGTTCCGTTTCGTTTCATTTCATATATGTATTTAATGTTTTATTTTAATTTCTTCGAAAACAAAAGCTTTCGACTGGAATACTTTGCCGCGTCTATGATGGTCATTATAAAAAAATCACTGTCATCAAATTTACAAATGATGACACTGCATTCATTTCAGGAAGCGAGGATGCGGGATTGAACGTCTGGCTGATGGCCAGGTTTCTATTGCTCCTTTTTTCGTATTTCGTTACCCGTAAGAGATAAGATCATTAATTTTGTATGTGGTTCAGTGTCTTAGATGAATCGGCAGATGGAGTCCCATCGCCTTATTACTCGTGGTCAGATCATTCATTGCCAATTACCGACATAATATGTGGTATTGGAAATTTTCTCTCTGCAAGAGTGTTGACCTCATCTTTAGATCATACTTGTAAGGTACGTAGACAACGTTCATTCATACATTGAAACAATGATTGCTCGTGGATCGAGGTGTCCTTGTTAACTTTGGTCATAATGAATCTTTTTAAGAATAGTTATGGGACTTATCAACTGGATTCCTCTTAACGACCTTTGTGTTTCCCACCGCTATAACTGCCATTGCACTTGACCCTGCCGAAAGAATGTTGTTTGCGGGCGGCAGGAATAATTTAATTTATCAAGTGAATCTTTATCGAAAACTTGAAAACAAAGGTTTCGGCATTGAGATTGCTTCTGTCGGAGGTGGTGGTGCAATCGAAGATGTTACCTCCGAGCATAGTGGTAATGAAGGTAAATTAATATTCAGAGGGCACAGGTCAGTCTTTGCAACATACTATTAATTTACCTCCAAAACGCGGATATTGTGTTTCGTAAAAAAAATTTGTACTTAGGGTGATATCGTTTCTCGCAGCTCTTCGATAACGACACTTTCACTCTCGCATGACGTTTCTCTTATTCTGTCAGGTTCTCAAGATGGTAATGTGAGAGTTTGGGATATTAATAGCAGGCAAATGATGAAAAGCTTCAATCATCACAAAGGTACTGAAACGTAAAAGGAATGAGTTCATTAAATATATACACGACAAACCTTAGAATGAACTAATCCACGATTTCAAAGGTCCAGTAACGAATCTATTTACATTCTTAAGACCGCCGGATCTTTTCAAAAGCGGTTTATCACCAAATAAGATATCTGTGCAACCGATAATACCATTTAAAAGAATTCAACAAAATTTGATGCAAAATGATTCTGATTCCGAAGAACCCATGGTCTTGATTTTAAATGATAACACAAAGGTACCCCGGAATTCTGTTTTATAATTATCTATTTGAGTCACATTTTTAATTTAATTTCTCTTAAATTATTAGGATGTTCTTGATGTGGCTAGGAGCGAAAGGGATTATAAAAGTCAAGGTGATATTCGAAGGCTCAAAATTTAACATCATTTGTATTTGTACAATAAACTAATTTGAGCTCTCATTCGCCAGAGTTCCGTGATTTATTAACAGCGAGAGAAAATCAAAGAAAATTTCGCGTATGTTAAAACCACTTCCCTTATTTGCCATTCTTTAATTGACTGACTGATTTTCCTGCAATCACATTTCAGATCGGAGATGAAACGCTCGCACTTCAAACGCAAGTGTCCGAACTGCAATCCGAACTTCTTCGTGTTCGTGGGCATTATCATCGCGTCAAAAACTTACATGACGAAATGTATCAGGAATTGGTTTCGGATTTTATGTCAAAGCGAAGGGAAGGAAGTTAAAATGTGATATATAGACAATTGGATTCCATTGTACAAATTCTGTATAGAACCTTCGGATTTAATAAATCAATTTTCTTTATTTACCGTATAAGCGCGAAATAACGCTCACCTGGGCGTTATTTATTTGACCTGTGTGTTAATTTGAGTACATTCATGGCGTTATTTTGAAATAAAGGTATTTTTTAACTTCGGCCCGAATTAAGCTTAATTCAGGTCAAAATCACGTTATTAGGATGCGACAAGACTTATTTTCAAAATAACGTTATTTCGCGCTTATTTGGTAATAAATTTATTATGTACCCAGTTTTAATACGTTTATCAATCTTGTTCCTTTTTATTTATTTGTTTGTTTATCTGATTTGTTTATTTGATTTTAATTTCTGTTTGTTTAATTAATCATAAATTTAATTCGGTAATTATAATATTGCAATGACCGGATAATGATATAGACTAAGTAAAAAATTTTTGATTTCATTTATAAAACAATCGTAACTTAATCACATTAATCTTAATTTCTAAAAAACAATAGTGACTTAATCATATTAATATTAATTTCTTAATTATATTAAATTACTTTATATACTGTATAATCATTTTTTATTATAATTTTCAAAATAGATTATATTTGAATTCAAGTATTTTGTATGATTTATTTATTTATTTCATAATTAAACAAGTATTTATTATATCTACAAATAAATAATTGCAAATATGTTTTTATTACAATTGATAGCAAAAGCAAAAATTTTGAAAATCAAATTAAAAAAGTCAAAAAGTTAGATTATAAAAGTTACTCAAGATTTCTAAATATATAAATAGATAACAAAAATTAAACAAAGGATATTATTAATAAAATTCAACAAAAAATATAGTTACTAGTTATATTATTAATTATATATGTATATTTTATAAGTGAAAATAGTAAGAAATAATATAATACTTAGATTTTGAATTGTAACCTGAATTCATATAACTATATAATAAAAAAAAAATGTAATAAAAAATTAATAGTTTTGTTTATATTAGTGATTTAAATATAATTGATTTATATTAATCTTTTAATAAAAATAAGCTGCTTATAATTTTTTATTTCATAAAATTTGGAAACTAAATAAAATAAAAAAACAGTTCTTTAGTTATTCTCCTTAAATAATAGATAGAATAGTAGTATTGTCAGATATTTAAAATAGAATTGCTTATAACTATATGTTTCTAATATATTGATTAATAATTTAAGTCTTTAACAAAGTAACATTTTATATAATTAATATTACAAATCAAATTTTTTTCTTTAAAAATATTTTATTATATCTAACTAACTTGATATATAATTAGTAATTATAGAAAAAATGTGTTTAAAACTAATTAAAATTTTTATTTATAATCTGTAGGTCTATAATATAATGATTAATATTTCATAAATCAGATTATAAGATACTAGTTTAATTTCAGGTAAAGGCAATTAAATAGAAACCATATAATATTTAATGCCATAATCAATAATGTATTGTTTCTTATAAAAAGTCATTTTATATACTGATCCAGTAGATATTAAAATTGTGATCTTCAAAAAAAGTATTATAATATAACAATTATTTGATTAGGACATAATAATTGCTAGAAATTGTTTTATAATATTTGAACTCAATTATCAAAGTAAAAAGATCTTGAAAATAGTGCAAAAAGTCATAACTACTTATATCATTGATATAATTATTATATGGCAAGACAGAATATGCAGGAGTTACATCCTACTTATAGTTCCAAAAATTAGAATTAAATGGAATTGCAAAAAATTATATGAGTTCAAAACATTATTAAAAATAATAGTAAAATATATTCTACCTAATAAATTTAATATAAACTTGAAAATTGAATATAGAATCAAAAAAATTATTAAAATCCCGAGTCTTGTTTGATATTTGTACTTTTAGATTTGGCAGCTTATATCAACTAACTTATATGAAATTTTTACTAGAAGTTTAAGAGAAAATTCCTTAAGAAGTCATACTGTATTTTACTTGATCAAAATAATTTCTAGATTTGGTAGTTAGTACCAATCAGTAGTAAAACTAAAGTATTCACTACTTGCATCAAAGATTTCTTTTATTATATATAATTTTGTATAATAGTGGAGATAACTATATGATAAATACTTATTTAGATAATTATAGAACTATCTTATAATAGTAAAAGTTAGAATATGGATTCTTCTTTAAATATAAGTTGATATTCTGATAAAAAAAATGAATAGTAAAGATTAATATTAGCAATAGCTAATAGATTATTTATATATAAATAATTATAATTGTAATTAAAATATCAATAAATTTTAAGCAACTTTGAAGATTACTGAGGATGTGATATGATCTGAAATGGATAAAGCCTAGGGCCATATTTATAGAAGTTACATTTTGCTTGATATTCGTACTCCTAAATTTGACAGTCTAAGTTAACTGTGAGCCTATAAAGTATCTATTGGAAGAGTAAGAAGTAATCTTTAAGGAGTCACACCCACTTGGCCAGTAACTGAGCCCCTATATTTAGTAGTATGTGCCAACTATAGGAATAACTTTTGGAGCATTTACTAGAAAATATAAATAAAATAAGACTATCAGGTACCATCTACGAGTAAAGCATACAGATATGTAATAAGAAACCTAGTGACAATTAATAGGTACAAGCTCTCTAAGTAGTCACACCTGGATATAAATACATCTTTATGATATAAGTTGGTATTCAGATTAGAATTAGGTCAGGGTCATTGATTAATTAGCAATAGCTGAGACTATTTATATAATAGTTATTTGTAATTAAGATTTACAATAAAATTTTTATATATATTGCACCTTAGTCCTAAAAATATATATATATCAATAAAATTTATATGTATTATAACTTAGTCTTAAAAAAAAAGGTTTATTTATAATTAATTTAAAATTATTATTATTATTTTTTTTAAAAATAAATAAATATTATTACTTTATTATATATATATATATACAGTATATATATATTGAAAAGACAGGTAGTTTTTATGCTTTATTTTTATTTATACTTTTAGACTTATAATACAAGATTTATAAATCTATAGTATAAAATATGTTTCTCTTTGTCAGAAAGAGTTAAACACTAGGCTCAACATATGTGACCCTTCTATTTAAGCTTCTTAGTACTATCCAAGAATATAAAAAAAAAATTTTAAAACTTATATTAAGTCTTAAATGATATCTAACTACTTAAAGAATTTTGATTACCTAATTATATGAAGGTACTGCAATCACCATATACAAGTTGACCTCTAAGTCATAACTAGAATTGACACATTTGCTTTACAAATGTGACTTGATGTACAGCAAATGAAGAATATATTTCACCTTAAGCTTTATCTGAATAACTTGTTCAAACAACTGAATAGTTACTACTTTGACTAAAACATTCAGTAAAGATTAGCCTTTTATTTGATCACCTAGTATTTGACCTTCTCTATTCTTCTAGAATTGCAGCAGATTATAGATTATCCAAGCCTATGTCAGTTATCTATACCTGTAACAAGTAGGAAAGGAGATAACTCTTCTTTACAAGAAGTTTTATATATATAGTTGCATTACTCAGGTATTTAAATAAGATTTAGCACAAATATAAGATAGAGGAAAATGGAAGAGAAATGTTGGACATATATTGAAAGTTGTTGGGAAAAGTTGTTAGATATAATAAAATTGGAATTTCTTATAGATATTGTTATTTAATCTTGTATACTGAAACCTGTATTGTCAAAGAGATTGATAGAGAACTTTTATTATCATCACCAACTCATATTATAGGAGTAACTAGAATTTTTGGTTTTTCTATATTATTTTACTATACTATCCAATCACCAGCATAACACTTACAACCAAACTGATTGTATTGGCATTAGCTACCATATTGCTCTAAATACTGTAGAATACAACTCCTTGAAGACTTCAGATAATAATAGTTATATATCAGTTTTTTAAATGTATCTAATCTAATTATCAGTAGGTAAACAATATCGGATTTGTTAATAATGACCATATCAATCTTTTGAAGGAAGTAAGTCCTTCATTCTTTTTCTGTAGAGCCACGAAAAGAAAAAATTTCAAAACTTATATCTTGAGAAAAGTTATCAATTTCTGATATAACTCTTGAGAGAAAGGAGTCAATTGACCAAAGGATTGATGTTATGAAGTAGTTTTTGTAAAATAAAGAAAGGTCTAAGAAGAAAAATCTTTAGAAAAAAAGGAAAACTTAGCTTCAGCAGAAAAAAAAAATTAAAAAAAAAAATGAAAAAGTGAAGTAAAATAAAAGAGAAAATGTTTTAAAGAGAAAGGAAAAAGAATAAGAAAAGGGAATAAAAAATATAAGGAAGGAAAAAAGAAAAGTGAAAAAAAGTAAACACTTAAAAATTTCCTAAAAAAGAAATTTTCAAGTGTAAAAGGGGAAGTGAAAAAGAGTTTTTTTTTTAAATTATTACTTTATTATATTATAAAAGTTTTAAAATATTTTTATATAAAAAAAGTAATAATATTTTTTATATAATTAAATTA